ATGGGAAGAAGGGACCCCAACCGTGTCTCAAGGATGTAGCTTCCCATCTCTAAGCCCAGGGAAATTTAAATAACAGATGTTTAAACAACCTTCCCTGCAAGCTGGCAGTGCAGTGACCCCTCTGCTGTGATGTGCTACAGCTTAAAAATAGCCCACAATGAACCGCTCTGAGCCCCAGTTGACTCAAACTTACGTAACCCTGCGTGAAAGATGGCCAGCCGCAGCAGCACAGAGGGAGGGCAGCAGCACAGCCGCCCTGACTGCTGCCCACAGCGGACGGATGGACTTAGGGCCTGGACAAGCACCTCACCCTCCCTGGGAACAGGTCCTCCAGGAGCCAGGAAGCACATGCGACTGTGAGCAGAGCCCTCCAGCTATGCGGGCAGAAGGGATGGGCCAGGAGGAGCCCTTTCTCAGCATCCCTGCAGGATCCAGGCCTGGTCAGTCAGTAGGGAGCTGACTAAAGCCCATGTAGGCAGGGTAACCAGAGCTGCCCAAAGGACTCCAGTCCCCACTTAAGAGAGCACTCCTCAGCAGGGAGAAAGCCTGCCTGCAGCAGTCACTACTCTGGCGCCCAGGGGCCCAGCCACAACAGCCCTGAAGGTCGGTGCACTGGCTCAGAAGCTGAGAGCCGTGACCTAGGCCACAGCAGTAGCGTTGAGCCCCTGCCTGCCCTGATGTGTCCCCCAGATCCCAAATACCCAGCCTCCAAGGCTACAGTGTGCAAGTAGCTGAGCCAGCTGCACAGGGAGCAGAGAGGCGAGGGGGCTCCTGGCATTGGGAGCCTGTGCTGCTCCCCATGCTGAGCCCCCCAGGAATTCAGCTCGTTCCCGCAGCTTCCACCATCGGAGTTCACAATCAGTGTCGTGCACTGCTTGGCCTGTAGGACTGTGGGATCAGAAAGGACCAAATGAGAGCTGTCTTGTCACCTGCCTAGCAAAGGGCTGGCCATTAGAACTTCTCCTTCTCTTCCTGGCCCAGGGCTGGCAGATGCATGGAGCAGAAGTCGTGTGTGTGTGTGTGTGTGTGTGTGGTGGGGTGTGGGAGAGGGGGGGGGGCAGGAGGTTATGGAATGGCAGAAACCCAGCATTGGCCCTCATCCTCCCAAGAGGGGAGGGATACAACTGCCACTCAGGCCTGGACCCACGTGCTTCCTCCTGAGGGGTTACTGTACTGTCTCTCCCCAGGATAACACTCCCTGTGGGATACAGAAAGGATTTTCCCCAGGTTGTTGTATAGCCAGCAGAGGACCTGTTTGCGGGCGCATCCTGAGGTCAGCTGCTTAGAGGTCATCTCCCTGAGGGCATCAGCCATCTAGAGCAGTCAGATGCTATAGTCTGCCCACACCCTGCTGTAAGGATAGTGGATTATTGCCTAGAGACAAGGTCAAGGAGGATCAAGGTTAGGCTGCCATCTTGAATCTAGGATCCACCCATTTTGTCACGTGTACCCCTAGTCCCTCCCCTTCCTATTGCATGTATACCCCTACCTCACCCGCTTCCTGTCACACGTATGCCTTTTGGATAGCCCCTTCCTGTTATGTGTGTGGTTACCTGTAATCAGGGGGGCTTGCACACCCCCTAAGTGCATATAAAGCCTTGGTTAGAAATACATTCTCTCTCTCTTCTTGAACCTGGCTGCTGCGATCACGGCCATCCCAGAGGTGAGCATGCTACCATGAAATGTGGACTCCTTTATCTGAATCTCTCCCCTATCCGTCCTATTCTTTATGACTTTAC